GAAGGAAGCGAAGGCAGAAAATCCTAAATAAAAGGGAAAAACCCTCTGTGGACACCTTCCAAATTGAACAAATAACTTCCGTCAAAAGAGAAGAGAGAGGAAAGCGACCGAAGCGGAGAGCAAGAGGAAAACCGGCAAACCGAAGGAAATTTAGGCGACATAGAACACCGCCGGATAACACAGACATGACCGGCGAGTCATTCAACACACTCCTGGGAGAAGACGGCCCAACGGCCGCTCCACAACAGTGTATTTACACTGACTCGGAGGAGGACTTCTCATTGACCTCCATACTCCCATCTCTACCGGAAAGCGAAAATGAAAGTGATGACACTGAAGCGGAAAGCGAACTCTCCGAACATGATGTAGAAGAAAAACGAAATCTTATCCTTCCTTATGCTCTTCGAAGCCAAGGGACAGTTGCAGATGAACCTTGGGTTATGTCACGACCCACACGAAGCCGTATACCTCGATTGATTTCTCTCACCACTAGTCGATCATCCTCTCCTCATTAAAAATTATGGATAGGGCAACCACTACTTTTCCTCATAGTAAGTTGAGCAATCTAATCGTAGTACAAATTTGTGTTAATCAATTTAATTTTCCTAACAAATATCCATCATAGGTCATCTTCTTAACCTCTTGTTATCATAATCAAAGAAGGAACCATGGAAATTAATAAAGATATTTCCTTATTCTAGTGGAAGAAACTTCCCATACACTAAGGGTGAACCTGAACCAAACTGACCTAAAGTGACGCCGACGTCGTCATCAACAAAACCAAAATGGATTATCTCCAAATCACTTTTCTTATCCTTAGTATCAAGTCTACGGACATGAAACCTGCATCAACCCACGTCGAATTTTCTAAAGGAGTACTTTTCCTTCACCAAGGAAATTTTTTGATGACCACAAGTCACTGGACCCTGGTCACTGAACTCAACTTTGAACATATAAAGAGACAGATTCAATTCATCTCACAAGCTTTATCCTATTTGGATGCCATGATTCAACAACGAGAACATACGACTCCAACGAATGAAAATCCTCAAACCCAGTGGAATCTCCCTACAAAAGGTTTCGAACTCCTCCAAGCTTCATTCCTCAACTATCATAAGAGATATAAAGAACTTACTGACCTAGTTACACTAAAACCGTCTCCTAAACGAAGAAGAGGCTTAATAGACATAGGAGGAAAAGCCCTCAAAGTCCTCTTCGGAACGGCAACATCAGAAGAAATTGAAGCTTTAAATAAGGAAATATCGAACATTAAACAGCGTAACGAAGGAATTCTTCATTTATTGCGTTCGCAAACAACTTTATTAAATGATACCCTAAATATAAGCAAACATAATAGACACCAGATCTACATATTATTTAAACGACAAGAATATTTTGGAGAAGTCATGAATTTATACCAGTATAACCTAGCCTTTGAGATAATTCTACGAACAATCGAATTCTCCGTTCAAGAATTTCATTTCCAACTAGTAGAATTACGAGAAGCCATTGATATTTTAGAACAAGGTCGATTAAGTACATACTTTATCTCACGAGAGGTCATGTTAAAAACTCTACGAGACATTCAACTTCAACTTCCGGAAGGTTACGCAATGATCGAACCCATCCAACCGGATACGTTGTTTAAGTATTATCAGTGGCTGACTACCGTCGCAGTAGCCCTACCGGGTAAACTACGAATTTTTGCCAAAATTCCCTTAATCACTCCCAGTGGATATTTTGATATGTATGAAATTGTCAAATTTCCAACATACATCTCCACATTAAAGACCTTTTTCCAATTTAAAACGAATTATCCTATAATTGCTCTATCGATGGATAGACAATCGTACATGTTGCTCCAACGATTCGAACTCGCCATGTGCAAAATAGATCATTTACCTATTTGTTCGTTAAATGTTCCGATCCAACGATTTCCTCATCAAAGTTGTGAATATGCTTTATTTAATGGAATCGAATCCCAAGTTAAAGAACTATGTGTTCGACAAATTGTTGCAAAATATACCCCAATTTTTAANTTTGATTTTGCAAAGGCACGAGTGATGCTACCAAATAGAAAGCCTATACATTTTTGTACTCCACAACGAGCATGCAGAAGGAAGCGAAGGCAGAAAATCCTAAATAAAAGGGAAAAACCCTCTGTGGACACCTTCCAAATTGAACAAATAACTTCCGTCGAAGGAGAAAAGAGAGGAAAGCGACCGAAGCGGAGAGCAAGAGGAAAACCGGCAACCCGAAGGAAATTTAGGCGACCTAGAACACCGCCGGATAACACAGACATGACCGGCGAGTCATTCATCACACCCCTGGGAGAAGACGGCCCTACGGCCACTCCACAACAGTGTATTTACACTGACTCGGAGGAGGACTTCTCTTTGACCTCCATACTCCCATCTCTACCGGAAAGCGAAAATGAAAGTGATGACACTGAAGCGGAAAGCGAACTCTCCGAACATGATGTAGAAGAAAAACGAAATCTTATCCTTCCTTATGCTCTTCGAAGCCAAGGGACAGTTGCAGATGAACCTTGGGTTATGTCACGACCCACACGAAGCCGTATACCTCGATTGATTTCTCTCACCACTAGTCGATCATCCTCTCCTCATTAAAAATTATGGATAGGGCAACCACTACTTTTCCTCATAGTAAGTTGAGCAATCTAATCGTAGTACAAATTTGTGTTAATCAATTTAATTTTCCTAACAAATATCCATCATAGGTCATCTTCTTAACCTCTTGTTATCATAATCAAAGAAGGAACCATGGAAATTAATAAAGATATTTCCTTATTCTAGTGGAAGAAACTTCCCATACACTAAGGGTGAACCTGAACCAAACTGACCTAAAGTGACGCCGACGTCGTCATCAACAAAACCAAAATGGATTATCTCCAAATCACTTTTCTTATCCTTAGTATCAAGTCTATGGACATGAAACCTGCATCAACCCACGTCGAATTTTCTAAAGGAATACTTTTCCTTTACCAAGGAAATTTTTTGATGACCACAAGTCACTGGACCCTGGTCACTGAACTAAACTTTGAACATATAGAGAGACAGATTCAATTCATCTCACAAGCTTTATCCTATTTAGATGCCATGATTCAACAACGAGAACAACGAACGACTCCAATGAATGAAAATCCTCAAACCCAGTGAAATCTCCCTACATGAATACCTACATGATAGGTGAGGAATGAAGCTCGGAGGAGTCCTTCGAAGTCCTCCGAGCTTCATTCTTCACCTATCATAAGAGATATAAAGAACTTACTGACCTAATTACGCTAAAATCGTCTCCTAAACGAAGAAGAGGCTTTATAGACATAGGAGGAAAAGCTCTCAAATTCCTCTTCGGAACGGCAACATCAGAAGAAATTGAAGCCTTAAATAAGGAAATATCGAACATTAAACAGCGTAACGAAGGAATTCTTCATTTATTGCGTTCGCAAACGACCTTATTAAATGATACCCTAAATATAAGCAAACATAATAGACACCAGATCTATATATTATTTAAACGACAAGAATATTTTGGAGAAGTCATAAATTTATATCAGTATAACCTAGCCTTTGAGATAATTCTGCGAACGATCGAATTCTCCGTTCAAGAGTTTCATTTCCAATTAGTAGAACTACGAGAAGCTATTGATATTCTAGAACAAGGTCGATTGAGTACATATTTTATTTCACGAGAAGTCATGTTAAAAACTCTACGAGACATTCAACTTCAACTTCCGGAAGGTTACGCAATGATCGAACCCATACAACCGGATACGTTGTTTAAGTATTACCAGTGGCTGACTACCGTCGCAGTAGCCCTACCTGGTAAACTACGAATTTTCGCAAAAATTCCCTTGATCACTCCCAGTGGATATTTTGATATGTATGAAATTGTCAAATTTCCAACATACATCTCCACATTAAAGACCTTTTTCCAATTTAAAACGAATTATCCTATAATAGCTCTATCGATGGATAGACAATCGTACATGTTGCTCCAACGATTCGAACTCGCCATGTGCAAAATAGATCATTTACCTATTTGTTCGTTAAATGTTCCGATCCAACGATTTCCTCATCAAAGTTGTGAATATGCTTTATTTAATGGAATCGAACCCCAAGTTAAAGAACTATGTGTTCGACAAATTGTTGCAAAATATACTCCAATTTTTAAAAGAATCGATCGACAGGGAACCTGGATTTATTCCACACCGGAACCTCTCACCATAACTATTAGATGTCCTACAAGACCTCAGAAAGCACCTTATATATCTACCACCCACAAATTGAATCATACGGGAATGATTAATCTCCCAACTGCATGTACCGGTTACCTACCTGGAATCATCCTAACCTCGCAATTTCAAAGACAATCAACCTTACAACTAGAGGTCGCACAACACCTAGTTGTTCCCCAAATTGAACAACTTTTAAACAAAACGGAACTACAAATCCTCCAAAAACGTCTCCACGATCCACAAACCCAAGAAGAGGAAAAATTAAACGCCAATTACGACATCAAGTTAGCAGACCGATCCTTATCAGACGTCACTTACGACCTCAATCACCTATTACAGATGACAACTAAATCAGCATCTCCATCCTACCTCTCAACCGTCATAACGGTAATCACCAGTTGCTTAGGAACTGTTGTTATGGGAGGCTGTTTTTATTATATCATTCGTCGATACCTTCAACAGAAACAACGTCAGTCACCATCTCAACCGCACCCTACAGAAACCGACCCAGAAAACATCTCCCTTGACGAAAGAAAAAGTCAATGGAACCACGACCCGCAACCAAGCACTTCCCGAGAAATCGCTCCCCGAGGCGACTCTACCCAAATAGCACACAAACTTATTGTTCAAAGCTATTAAGACCTTAGTCGACACTCGACAACCACCAATTTATTATTTTAAAATTTTTCCAGTTATTCGGCNAAAATGTTGGTATTATTGGCGCTGAAAGCGACATAAAACGAGTTGGATGTTTAATCTTTATGATTTTTGGCTATGGGCACACATTAAGAAGTGTGGTTTATCGAGGAATTGTTGAAAATTTGGCAACTTCCAAAGATGGCACCACACTGCATGTGAGAACTATCACAGAGGTCCAAGTACAGTCGGTTGTTAAACACACTGTTCATACTCTGCAGAACAGTGAGCACATTCAGCATTAACTTCCGTATTGCTAATAGTGTTTTATACATATAAAATGAGAACATATAATTAAATATCGACATTTAGTTCTAAAGATTATGATAAACCATTAATTTATTTTCGGGAAAGGTGCATTAATACATGAAATGAATACATATAAAGACATCAAAGTCCAATAACAATCAAATTTAGTTGTATTTTGTTTGGAAAATGATTAAATACCGTGAGTGTTGTTTCCTTGTTTGATTATGCATTTTGTTTCTTTTTTTAAAATTCCGCTCACTTGAATACACGACGAGAATATTGAATAAATCGCACTTAACACCTGAAAATAACGATATTTTATCAATATTATTTCTATGTGATGTCTATCAACATTATTAGAAAACAAATGGAAACTTACTCTAATCGGGAAATCCTGTTTTATATAGAAGAATCCTCCAATTGATATGCCGAGAGGAATCTTTCCAAATCTCTTCATAAAGTCGTTTATCTTTTAGAATCAAAAATGGTAAAATGTAAGTTAGTTACTTATATTTACATTGCCGTATTTCCATGATTAAATCCTTTTTTTAACCACGTATTCCCGAATTTATTTGAATAACCGGAGTTTCTCGAGGCCTAGTTTTCAACAGGAGACGAATGGATAAAAACCGTATCTTAATTATTCCTACATTTTTCGAACTATCTAAGCTATTTAGTGACTCATAAAAAATGGCCGATGATAATTTACATAGCAAAAATTTAAGAATACAGAAAAAATGTCTTCACAATCCGAGGTTTTCACAGTCACCATTGACACCAAAATAGCCTAATACAAATTTTCACTTACAGAGGCTACCATGTAAATTACCGTCGGCCATTTTTAATGAACTATGTGTTCTTATTTTATATTTATGTAAAGATCTAATTATGTAGGCTATCCTGTATATATATTAGAGATTTATACTGTATTTCTTTAACCAAACTCTAATCATATATTATAAACTCAACCTGGATTCAATTATGGTTTCGATTTCATTATTTGTCAGAAACAAAGGAAAACTTCCTACCAGCTCTGAAGTTAAGCCTTATTGAAATACAGTATTTCTTTTAAATTTCTTACTTACCTTAAATTTGAAATTCAATGGGAGATTTGCAGAAGAAATTTTCTCAATACTGATGAAATTGTCGTACATCTGAAAAGGAGAAATAATAATATTTCAACCTGTAATTGTTATATTAAATTTATGTGAGCCCGCGGATTTTTAAGGGAATCTTAAAATTAATGCTAATCTGTTTTTTCGAAATGAAAAAAAAACCGGAGAGTTAGATTGGAGGTCAGTGGGGAAGTTGATACTTAGAGTTGTCAAGAATGCACCGTCATCGTCAACAACGGACGATCATGTTACCCCTTTCCCACGACGAACGTATAAAAGCGAGAGCTACCAGGAGCTCGGGGCGATCGAAAGGAAGTTGTACTTGAAATAGTGTGCATTTAGTCTCCGAGTCCCCGATCCTGCCGAGAAGAAAACGGACAAGGACAGCTATTCTTCGTATGGACCGATCGTCGCATACAGTTCCTCCCGCTTAGAGGTATTTTTGATAGTGATCTGAGAACTCTCCCCACAGCTAACGGGAATAAACTTAGATAAAAGCTATCTTTTTTGTATAAAATTTCGTTAGTATTTAATCGCATTTAACTGTGTCTAGCTTCCTATAACCTCCTGTAATCTAGATTCAGTTATATAATAAATTCTTGTTGTTATCTATTAAAAACCTGTCTCCTGTCACACTCCGAAACACAAATACCTGCCGACTTGCTCAATCCCCCTCGCCACTCGAAAAAAAGCCATCCAAAAGACGAAGTGGGCGAGTTTTACTAACTCGACGTATAAGTGACAATTAGAGATTACCCTGTGCCCTCGTAATCTCACATTTATATATTAAATTAATTTAACAATGAAAAACAAATTAGCTTTATAATACACAAATCCCTACGACGGTATCTGTCTAGAAATGTAATTCAAACAAAACATAAAAGAGAAATGGATAATACAGACCTTCACGTGAGATCAATATTATTTTCATTGCTGCAATTAAAGTTGTCTTAAGCCGAAACAAATTTTTCCATGTGAAACAATAAAAAATGGATTAATCCGTTCCTCACCCCAAAGTAAAGCCTTTTTTGTACTTTTTTAGTCGTATTTCATGCTAAAAATGCTTACAAATTACAATGTAACGTTTCATATAATACAATACTGTATTATCAGTTTGCTTTTATAAAATCTAAAGGAACTGAATCGGCCATATTCTTATTAAACTCACTAATTCAAATATACTTAAAGAAAAAACGAAGAAAAATTTATGCTGCATTCATTGACATTACTAAAGCATTTGACTCTATTCACGTACCCTCTTTGGTTAACAAATTAAAAGTATTTGGTGCAGGTACCAAATTTACAACTACAATTATGGAACTTTTTTCCTCTTNTAAATTCTTGTTGTTATCTATTAAAAACCTGTCTCCTGTCACACTCCGAAACACAAATACCTGCCGACTTGCTCAATCCCCCTCGCCACTCGAAAAAATACCATCCAAAAGACGAAGTGGGCGAGTTTTACTAACTCGACGTATAAGTGACAATTAGAGATTACCCTGTGCCCTCGTAATCTCACATTTATATATTAAATTAATTTAACAATGAAAAACAAATTAGCTTTATAATACACAAATCCCTACGACGGTATCTGTCTAGAAATGTAATTCAAACAAAACATAAAAGAGAAATGGATAATACGGACCTTCACGTAAGATCAATATTATTTTCATTGCTGCAATTAATTTAAAGTTGTCTTAAGCCGAAACAAATTTTTCCATGTGAAACAATATAAAATGGATTAATCCGTTCCTCACCCCCAAAGTAAAGCCTTTTTTGTACTTTTTTAGTCGTATTTCGTGCTAAAAATGCTTACAAATACAATGTAACGTTTCATATAATATAATACTGTATTATATAGAAAAAATTTTGTTATTTAATTTAAGCACCTTAAAATGAATTTTTTGGTACAATTTATATTGCATTAATGTCAATTAACGCGGTTTTTATTAATTAATTTGATTTAGATTCAACTGCTGCGGGTACCGAAAAAAAAATAGTGTATTTCCCGCATTCGCATTGAAATCTAATTTAAACAGCAACGTCATCGATGATTCGTGTCGTGACGTCTAATGACGCAGGCGATATACTTACCAATGATGTTAAATAAGAAAATGTCCAAGACAGAGAAATTAAGCCGAGAAGAATAAATAATGATAGAAATATAAAAATAATCTTCAGTATTGGTTGTAATTTAACGAATATCGTTGCATAGAAAACGAATGACGTTAAGTAAATGGAACTTGTGTAAACGAAAGGTAAAAGAATGTCCCATTCTTCGTTAATCATTGTAATATATCCCCAAAGTTCCACGTGTTTCTCCAATATTTCTTCCAATCTCTCTTGCAGGAAGTTTTGTTCAACAGTAATTTCAGTTATTTCTTGTGACATTTTCAGATATCTTTTCTGCACAATAAAGAAAGTTGCTGTTACTAGCAAAAGAAGTGAAACAATCTGGCCGGAGAAATAAATATGCCACAAAGAACAAATAAAAGAAACAAGAAATGCTTCTGTATTACTTCCGTTTTGCCTTTTTATTTCTGCGAAAAACGAAATTCCAGGCATCACTGTAAGCATGATAAATACGATAAATAATAAAGATAGAAAACGCAAAGCATACGTTTCTATGTAATTGGTTATTTTTAATTCTCCTTCGTAACTGCTGACAATGCAATGGCAAGAAATTTTCTTCCTCTTGAGAATACTGAATTGCCCAGCAATATATATGGAGAATAACGCGACGACTGTGGATGCTTCCGATGTGTAGTTGCCAAATACTTTAATGACTCTTAAAATGTAAATATTCGTATTGTATAATCTTATCAAGAAAGCCGTGGCTATTAACCATTCAAATATTTCTATGAAAGAAATATATTTCTTAAATAAATTCGATGAAAAACGATTCTTTGCTCTTTCGTCTTCCAGGCATGGACACGGATACCAAAAGTATAATCCAAATATCTTTGCTGAATTAAATATAGGAGCTAACATATACCCAATACAACGTTGCCTCTCTCGAAGTGACAGCATATTTTTTTTTAAGTTTCTCTCGAAATGACGTAATTGCTTCTCAAAACGAATTATTTTAACTCTATTCGCCTAGAAGAGGAGTGTACAATGTATGGCTCCTATTGTGACAATGTTTGGCAATCTCTGATCTAGAATATAACAGCAACCAACTGATAATGAAAATTCTTTTGTTATGTTGTGTTGCTATGGAAGAGGCTGATATTGATTTTCTTTGAAAATTTGAAAGCATATTTCCTGCCTACAGATTAGTATAAGTGCTCGCGGTGCACAAATATTTAAGCATCCTAATTAAATTTTCAATTACTTCTTATTGAACATTCCACACTGTGTGACGTTATAATCTTAATACCTTAATATCATCTAATTCTGTTGAATTTATTGAAATTTTAATTCCTTTTAGCATAGAGATATTTTAATGAATTTATTGATAGTAATAACCTTTTAAAATTCTTCAGTTAATTGCATATTAACGGGAGCAGTTATTAGTAAATTCCATACTTATATAATATTTTAAGGATAACGAGTAAAATAATTTATATTTTAGTATTAATTTTCTTGCTTTGTATTAAATGAGAAATTACCATTCAATTCTGTAGTCAATTTCGGAAATGGGCATTACAAAATAGAGACTATATCAGTGTTTCTCAACGGGGGCGATATCGCCCCCATGTGGGCGTTTTTCCATATTCAGGGGGCGATTAGTAACAATTTATGTTTTGGGGGCGAAAAAACTATTTTCTGCGCGACATAGTAAAACATTATATTAAGAATGATTAGATATTTTATTCGTTATATCGTACAATAATTAAACAAATAACATTATATAGTCACCAGTCTATTCGATGTAGTACGAATTTGGCGTTAGCCTTGTCCCACGGCATCGGAATTTTGTAGTGAAGGGGGCAATACTACGTAACGGTTTTATTGGGGGGGCGATATTACGTTGAAGGGGGCGACGATTCGTTAGAGGTTGAGAAACACTGGACTATATTAATTTGCGAGCAGGGCTCAGTAGAGGGCAAGAGGCAAAAATCACTGAACATTAGTCGTGAGTTCGTCCCTGTCCAACGAACTGACAACGTGAAGTTTACAGAAATTTTCACTTGTCTAGCAATTAAAAGAAGCCAGATACCATAAAAAATTTTTGTGGAAAGCAATCCATTTGTCACGTGTTGCATTGCTGTATCTTATCAAATGACACGCCATACTATCGTATAGTTATCTGTTTGTTTTAACAAATTATAAATACCTGTAAATTATGTGACCGGAGGGTCGGCACCTGTTTAGTGCCTCGTCAGGATTGACACCAACGTGTCTCAGGTGACACAAATGCCGCGGTGGTTCGGAAGTAGGTCACGCGACCGGTCGCGTTAATGAGCGATCTGATTCTGGATGGAGTGAGAGAGAGACAGCACACTGGAAGTGACTACGCAGAATAGGTAACAAAAAGCGTTTAATGGTAATCTAAGACATTGAATACAGAAAACACGTTCCTCGTTAAAGAGGGATAATTGACTTTCGCGGTAAGAGAGACAGAGAGTTCACATTAAAACGCATGGTGATAGATACCTGATGTATCGGTCCTTTGGTGATTTCCAGAACGGGTACTTTCTGTGATCTTTGGAGGAAAAAGTTCGGTTGAGCGTATGATAAAGTCAATTCGCTGTTCAGGTAATCCAAGGCACTCACTAAGGTGTTGGTAATTAGGTAATCCGATTCGAGATCAAAAGATGAATGATCATGAGGCGATAGGCACAAAATTCCACTCGGGTAATGTTTAAGCTTCGAAAAACGGGCGACTGCACAGTTTGGTAGGACGACTTTGGTAGGACAGGCCGATTTTCGAGGCCGACTGCCTCGAAAATCGGCCTGTTGCTATATTCAATTGACAAACTTGCAACAATAGGTCGTGAGGTTATGAAAAAGCGTCTTTTTAGTTGCTGAGAACTTGCCCAGTGATTAACTCCCAGGTGTGAAAGTTGACAGTACTTTAATAAAATGGTATCGTTAAAAATCTAGGTCAGGCCATAAACAAACAAGGCTGAGTCTCCAATTATATTAGTGATAATCTAGTCTGTATATTGTTTTTGTATAATTTTACTATACTGATTTGAATGTTTTTTTTTTTGAATATATTACAACGTTACAAGTGAATTTCGTCGTACAAAAATATTTAAAAAAAAATTTAAAAATCATCAAAATTACAAAAATGCAAATATTAGGATCAAAATTTGCCATCAATTTCTGTATGAAAGTTACATACAAAATAATAATTAAAGTTATTTAAAATAGAATATATTATTTCTATAGAATTTTTATAAATTCGTACGATTTAGGGAAATTATACAGAATAATCGCACTGATCATTTGACACTTATACTATTTAAAATTGAATAAACTAAGTTCTATCTAAATCATAGTGGTTCAATTGGTAGCTTATAAGTCACATTAGTAGCTGATTAGTCCACTTATGTGATCTCAATTGCATTGAGGTAATGTACATTTCTAATTGTCCCTTGGCAACAAATATTTCAGAACAGTGAAAGTCAATACATGGTGACTGTTCTTGGACAAAAATAATCTTCAATTTTAATTTTAATTTAAATGATTCACTTAAACTTCGTTCTTGGAATATAGTATGTCGTCTTTATGTATGACTACTGTACAGTTGACCCCCTTTTACCCGGGTTTCTTTTGTTTCGGTTTCTTTTTTCCGGGGGAAAAAATTGCGACAGTATTCGTACAAACACGCTAAAAGACTCATATAATTCGGTAAAACGTCATCGCCGAATCGTGTCGCGACAGGATTGGTCGAATCTTGACCAATAGCGGATATTGTACAAACCGTTGAGTTTAAACGAGCAGCGGACCTACTAAAAACCATTTATTATTTAACGTCGATAAAAATTATATTTATATTAATGATCTCTCCAAAGTTCAGCGAATTTTTCGCAAAAAAATAATTTATCAGGAAGCACGCGAGCGTCATTCGATGACAATCTCCACGACGAAAACAAGCTTAAGCAACGGCGTCGTCGAACGGTGCACACTCGGTAAGTAATCCTACAATTTTTTTGTTTATAGCATAGTTTATATGGATTATTCCCAAAAAATTATACGTATTTTGGAAATGTTGAGTCGAATTAGTCTAGAATCGATTAATTTTATGGAAGAAAACTCAAACAGCCGTAGTCCGTAAACTGCATACGTGCCGGGCTGTGATTGGCTCATGTATTCAAGGACTCTTAGAACATCAATTTCATAAAGAACGGAACGTATCTACCGTGTTATAGGGGTGTCGACTGTATATGCAAAGTATTTTGTGACTACCCGAAAGGACCATCAGAGAGCTAGAAGCAGTTAAAAATGCTATAAGACATGGTAGATAAATATAGTGAAAAAATTTTTAGCATATTTTTATTGTGAAAGCGTCGTAGTCTCTAATAAAAGGTCGGCATTTGATCTTTTTTAACTTTGCGGCAATTTTTTAAATTTATTTATGATGTCTTAAGAAGATTTTTATTTCTTCAAGCTAATTGATTGTTACCTCTTTGGTCTGTGAAAAAAAAGAAAGACTCAAAAAATTATATATTTTTATGTACGTCTCTATAGCTTCAAATGAAGAAAATACTTGGATATGTCGTCAAGAAATTTCCATCAATTGCTGCAATATTTTCTTCTTTCGTTTTTTTTTTTTCTTTTTACAATTATTACTGACAATTATTGCTTTTTCGTTAAAATTTATTTCGTTTTAAGAGAGAGATCTTTTTGCAGAAACTCGGGCGGCTACGATTCTTCAAAACAAAAATACAGTACTGTAGTTATGTTGGATGAAGCGAATACTTATCTGTCACTGTCATTGTCACTGCATCAAACAGAGATATGAGTATAAATGTAGATGCTAAATTTTATAAATTAAGTAATACTTTTTTAAATTAAAAATTATATTTTTACTCTTATAAGTAATGGGAAGAGCTAAGATAAGTCTATATGTATATATGTATATGTATACGTTATGATTGCTGCCGTTACGTGTAGCGTCATCTATTCAAAACAATTTAACTAAATAATTAACTAAATATAATTCTTACAAAAAAATATATAATTTTTAAAAATATATGTTATATTCACCTAATTACTGCGTCAATGTTATAGCACGAAATAGAAGCGCCATTACGCCATTATTGCGACAGGTAGCAAATAGCCTGCATGGTAAGTAGTGTTATGCCCCTGTGCATTACAGTTTTACTGTTAGCAATGGAGTTGTGCCGGTTATGTATCTAACGCCGTTCAGAGAAAAATTTTTGAATTGAAATAACGTGAATCGCGGTACAAATCAGAAGTTCATATATAGTTAATCTGGTCCTCTTCCACTTCTCACGTCTGGTTTCGACTTTCATTTATGTAACTTCGTTCTCCAGATTAAGGAAGGACAGGAGACGAGAGTCAAAATTTATAGGTCTACAATTTTTTTCAAATTTCAGTTCAAAAATTTTTCCATAAATACAATATTTACGAGAACATACTTTCCATATAGTTTATACAATCTGTTGTCAAAATTTAAACACTTTATTATCACAAAAGCAAATATTTTGGCATTTTACAAGATTTTTTTTATTTAAACAAGTCATGTGAAGTCTTTCGGACGTTAAAATTAGCAACTTCCATCACATGTGGAACCATCACAACCTATCTAACACTGATCACTTTTCAAATAAAAATAGTACACAATTTAAAGTATTTTTAAAATGTGTTAGATTGGGTACTCTATGTGATAAACTCTTACGTAAGATAACCTTTGTAAAATATAAATCAATAATATAATTTAATAGAAGGGTTAGAAGTACGAAATAATGTAATGATCTTAATCTTTGCTGTTATTTTTTCCTAGCAACGCCGCGAAAAATAACAACAGCAAAGATTGAGATTTTGGGCTCATCTGCTAGTTTAACCTAAATTTGAAATTATTTTGTATTATCAGTCAGATGTGATCTCATTTCAATAACATTTTATGAGTTGATTTCTATAAAACAGCTGCAAGCTGAATAAAAGAAGATATGTTTTATTGTAGGATTGTAAGAATGGAAATCATTATCGTGTTTGTATGCATTCAGGTTATTTTTTTTTTGTTTTGTTTGAAAACAGATTAATTAGATTTATCAAAAATATCCATTTTTATTTAAGCATAAATATCGCATAGATCTTTGTGGAAAAAAATAAATAGTCTAATAAAATAAACATTAACACACATTACAAATCGAAACTCGGTCCATCATTGGTCCGTGAAAAAAACAAGTAAACATTACTAGTTGGTCGTGGGTTCGCGCCTCTTCAACAGGCTCGCTCGTGAAGTTTTTCTGAGTTTTCTTCACATTTGTAACACCTAAACAAGTAATTATTTATTGTACATCATCACAATGCCGCGCTATAATTTTTAAATTATTTAATTTAAACTACGAGGGTAAGGTTGTCTATTTTTTTTTTAATACAAAGAAACGTTTACTTTCATTAATGTGTATATTATTTTAAAGCTTGAACATTTATCTATTTTTGTACATAATCTTCATACAAAAACTTCCACAGCGCATACAAAAATACATCGAACGAAATGGCGATTATGCAGAAAAATAGATAAATGTTTAAGCTTTAAAATGATATGCACATTATTGAAAATAAACGTTTCTTTGTATTTAAAAATAATAGGAGACCTTACTTTTGGGATTATCCTCGTACATGCTCTCCATCTCAAATTAGTACTGTAGTGTCTCGCCCGTGTACATCATACTTTTCTGTCAGCAATGGATTTGTGCCAGTTATCTAACTGCTTTCAGGGAAAAATTTTTGAATTGAAATAACATGACTTCCGGTTGGCATCGGAAGGTCGTATATAAATAATCGAGTCCAACTGCTCCGAATCTAGTGAATTCATAATATTTAACGTATCCATAAACGGTATATAGTAATTCTGGAGTTTATAAATATACGAAAGAAGAAATCTGTAGAGTAGAATCGATATTCACTGATATAAACCGTACTTACCCTTTCGATATTCATAAATACGGGAGATCATTTGATTGTGACTGCTATTTTCAGAGCCAGAAAAAAATAAAATTCGTAAATATATATTATATTATTATTATATTAATGAACAAATAAATAATACCTAACTAGTAGCGTGTTAAGTNAAGTAAACAACTTTAACATTGAAATACAGTTTGCTTTATTCTTAATCTAAGTTCAGCATTATTAAAGAGCATATTTTAGTTAGTTCAAATGATAAGCAAATAGAAAGTAGAGTGAAATAAAATTGTAGTCATTAATAGAGAGGTTTCCAATGTAGAGATCATGTTTATTAAATTGCATAACTGTTTAAGAATGTATGACATACCCTAACAAACAAATACACAGTGTGAATAAAATAAAGAAAATAGAGACTGGAACCTGTGGGCCTTTCAATCAGAGCACATGGAAATTTGAATTTCATCAAACTCATAATTTGATATTTTAAAAACAAAATATTCTATCAGTGCTTGTTGTTTTGAATATTCTGTATTATAAATTGGGAAGAGACAAAATAAAGCATCTTGTTGCATTGAATTCTTTATTTAATTTTACATCTTTTATTCAATCAGTTTATATATTAATGAACAAATAATACAATTAAATATTGGGAAGAGACAAAATAAAGCATCTTGTTGCATTGAATTCTTTATTTAATTTTACATCTTTTATTCAATCACTTTATATATTAATGAACAAATAAATAATACCTAACTAGTAGCGTGTTAAGTTTTATTTAAGTTTGATAACGTAACATGTGGGCGATCTGCCGAGGGATGTACTGTACTTCTCGGAAGGACTTTCTTTGAG